AATTCCTTACCTACCAAGTGTTCCATCAAAGCCATATTTCTCCATTTTAGACACAAGGATGTTGTGTGGGACAGTGTCAAATGCTTTGCACAAGTCATTATGTCAGTGAGCTTGTTGCTGGAGAAATACAAACTTTGGAGCCACCACAGAGATACCACTACGAAAGCTGCAGTGCTTAAAATCCTCCAAGTATGTAGTATTATATATTTATAAATATATAAAGAGAGAGAGTATAGTTTTATAATATGTATTATAAGTAAACTACATATTAAGTGTGTAGTAACTAATATAGTCACACTATATACAGTCACAGTAGCTAGACTTTCTAGATGCCAGTTGTGCGTTGCGGAGACATTAGAAAGCAGAAGATTAAGGATAAGGGTAAGCCACCAAGAAGTGTGTAGAAGACAACAAAAGCTAGTTTAAAGTTTAACCAGCAGTACTGTCAACTGACTAAGGAATGTGTCCTCTCTTGCAGTGCTTAGAGCTTTTGCAAGTTGTTCTGATGAAAACCATAACTTACTTGAGCATGCAGTTCATGGTGGAATTATAGCAACAAGGAGAAAAAAGAAAAAGCGGGTCTGCAGGTTTTGGGGGTTTTAGTTTTGTTTTCAGCTGAGACCTAAACTTCTTGTTTCATTGACTTAGATACAGTAAGAAATAAACCCACAGCCTCAAAGTATTGCTTGTACATACACCTCGTGCAAATACATATATGGATCATCACCCAAGTCTTTGTTGCAGTCACCTCCCCATCATACCAGCATTACCAAGATAATACAAGAACACATATTTCAGCAGGACATGAAAAGCTCAATATATAACAGAAGGTGGGGGGGAGCAGAAAAGGCAATGTGAAAGCTAAGGGAATGGTCTTTAACTGGTAACTAACAGTCACAGAAATATGACAATGTACTCAGTCTCAGATATTAAATGGACCAAGTTATGGGACATTTTTCAGGCTTCATGAGAAAGACTTAAAAACTTTGAGACCTTGAGTTCAGCTTACTGAGAGCTGGCAGCCTCAAACACATAAAACAAACAATAGAAAGTCATTACATTTTTGTGAACAAGGCAAAGAGTTTGAAATTTATTAACTAATAATTCTGTTTCTCATGGTAAAATCCACATTCTCACTGCAAAACTACTTTCCCACCCAGCTTTTTGGCTGGACACACCACAAGAAAAACTATTTTTATATAAAAATTACTCTATATTTCCCAAGAATCATCATTAGGTATGGAGCTAAAGGCTAAAATAAAAGACACTGGTGCTGGGAAATTGATTATAATAGATAGTAGTATCTTGATGAGTTCAACAGAATTAGATCAATAATTTCTCTGGCTACCGAATCTTAGCCTAAAGAGGCAGAATGATATTAAGGTTCACATTCTCAATTTTTCTAGCACACTATGTTTTCTGTTTCAGAAGGACTCCATGTCCATGCAATGGCATGGCATGTTGGTATCACAAACTGGCAAACTGGAAAGCTAACAGGTTAGACAGTGCATCAACAGCTGTCTTTCAACTGAAGAGTCCACTAAAACTTGTTATTACTCTTTCTCTTCATTTCTAACTTCAGAAACTAGAAATTTCCTCTTTTAGATCACAATCAGAATAATGCTTGAAGGGTAAAATCAGAACAACATTTTGAAAGAAGAAAAAAATAAACAAGAAAAAGCCCAACAGGGCGCAGGCAGACTTTTTCACATTCCCGCCTTTATAATAGCCTATTGGATATAACTCTTCACAAGAGTGCCATCGTACAAAAGGAAAGAGTTTTAAATTTAACATTTCCTTTAATTACCGAAAAAGAAGTATTCTCCCCTTGGTTTCTCCCTTATATCCAGCAGAGGGTAGTAAAAGAACAGTTTTGTGAACTCCAAAGAGTTCATTACTTATCAAGTAGCATATAACAAAAGGTTTTAAGATTGGCTTTTAAGTAGAATTACATTACTCATCACACAATCACCTTGAGAAGTTTGCTGCTATCATCAAGAAATTAAGCACAAATTTGCTAACCAAATCACCATTAACACAAGGCACTCTGCGTGGAAATTGAAGATGTCTCCTATATCTATCAATTTCAATCCACAAGCTAAAAATTCTATGAAGAGAGAGAAAGAAATACAGGGCTACTTCATGAAAAAACTTATACCATTCTGTCTGGGGTGTACTACTTCAAGGCTTCTGTATCCGAATGGAAATTCAGCTCAGATACAGATATCATGACCCACTTAGTGGATGAAGGCAAGGTCGTGGATGTTATCTATTAAAACTTCAGCAAAGCCTTTGATCTCATTTTCCAAGCATTCTGCTGGAGAAACTTGCTGCTTGTGGTGTAGACAGGTGCAGTCTTCGCTGGGTAAAGAACTAGCTGGATGGCTGGGCCCAGAGGGTGGTGGAGGATTGAATTATATCCAGTTGACATCCAGTCACCAGTGGTGTTCCCCAGAGCTCAGTATTGGGGCCAGTTCTGTTTAGTGTCTTATCGATGTTCTGAATGAGGGGATTGAGTGCACCCTAATTCAGTTTGCAGATGAAAACAAGTTCAGCAGGCATGTTGATCTGCTGGAGAGTAGGAAGACTCTGCAGAGGGGTCTGGACAGGCTGGATTGATAGGCTGAGGCCAGTGGTATGAGGTTTAACAAGGTCAAGTGCTGGGTCCTGCTCCTGCAGGACTACAGGTCCTCCCCATGCAGCGCTACAGGCTCGGGAAGAGTGGCTGGAAAGAAGCCTGGCAAAAAAGGACTTATGGTGCTGGTCAACTGCAACTGAACATGAGTGTCCAGGTGGCCAAAAAGGCCAATGGTATCATGGCTTTTAGAAAAAACAGTGTGGCCAGCAGGACTAAGGGAGTGATCATCCCCCCACAGTCAGCACTGGTGAGGCTGCACCTTGAATCCTGTGTTCAGTTTTGGACCCCTCACTACAAGAAGGATATTGAGGTGCTGGAATGAGTCCAGAGAAGGGCAATAAAGCTGGTGAAGGGTCTGGACCACAAGTCCTACTAGGAGCAGCTGAGGAAGCTGGGAGATCCTCTCATGCTTCCATGTGAATGGAAGCTGGAGAAAAGAAGGTCCAAAGAGGACCTTATCGCTCTCTACAACTACCTGAAATGTGGGTGTAGTGAGGTGGGGGTTGGTCTCTTCTCCCAGGTAATAATTGACAGGATGAGACGACATGGTTTCAAGTTGTTCCAAGGGAGGTTTAGATTAGATATTAGGAAAAAATTCTTCACAGAAAGGGTTGTAAAGCATTGGAACAGGCTGCCCAGTGAAGTGGTAGAGTGACCATCTACAAAGTTATTATTGTAGGCCCTTTCAGACAGTTACACACATGCAATTTCCTTTTGAGATGGTAAAGTGAGATGCAATCTGACAAAAGCATATGTATTGAAGTCTCATGTAGTCTTTTTTATTTGATTCAGAAATTTGTGATAATTTGCTAAAACTTTCAAATGCAAGATGCTTCTTCAAATACTTTTCCTTAATCACTGCTTAAATAGCTATACTTAAAGTAAGTACCACAAGACTCATTTTTCTGTAGACTGAATATGTTATTTTCTCATGACATTATTAAGAGATTCAGAAAGTTAAAATAATTTAACAAAAATAAAGAAGCAAAGAAAATATTTTATCAGATTATGGGTTAATAGGTAACATTCCCTGATACGACCATCTTTAGGGTATAGCAGTTGTACATTTTCAAAAAACTGAGTGCTGTCTTTTCAAATTTACAGATGGTGGGTACATTCAAACAAAATATTTAGAAAGATAAATAATTTGCTGCCTTGCTCCTCCTCCTTTCAGCTCATGATTCCTATGCTAGTATATTAAAAGCCACAAAGTCACAAGAAGAGCCCTTATTCGAGTATTTGGAAGCAAAACTCTTTGTTTTTTAAAAGGGTCATTGGAACCCGCCAGTACACAGCACTTTCCAGCTGAAGGCAATTCCACCTAGGCCAATATGTGTAGATCACAATATATGACAATAGATTTCCAGTAGAACTCTTTGAGGGCACAAAGGTCTACCTTGTTGGTCAATAAGTCAGTGGTTTTAGCTGATGAGCTTTGATCTTCCCTGTAGGAATTTTCTTTTGTACTTCAGCTTCAATGCAGGACTCTACCTACCTAGAAATCAATGCTTTAAACACTTCTTTTGCCTTTAAGAGAAAAACAACAGAAAACAAACATTGCTGAAAACTATGTCACTTGTTACTTTAAGGGCTCCTAAAATTCTGCAAGTGATAGTTCCTTAAAATTCATTGCAGAAAATATTTAAATATGTCTTAGTAGAAAACATACATAAGGATAAAGAATCATCCAGTCACTATACTTTTCTGCAATGACAAATGTTCTACCAAGAAAGTCTTGATCCAGACTGTACATACAGATAACATAGACATTACAAAGCCTCTAAGTGGACAAACAAAATGTTGAAACCTAGGAGAAAACTAGCAGTTTATTATAAGGAGCACACTTACAAGATATTATTCTCAAAGACTTGAGACTTCTCAGCAATAGGTGTCACTCAACAGACAGGAAAACTAAAACTACCTGTAGCAGTTAACTCTAGATAAGAAGAGGCTAATGTAACACCACTGTGATCTTCCAGTATGCTATTCCCTCACCTAGCACATCATCTAGTAATTTTCTCAGCTTCAGCAGATTCTCCACTGCAAATCCAATAAACCAAAAAGACAAGATAGACAAATTAAGAGGTCAAGGGAAATGTACAGACTTCCTGAAGTAAAGTTAGCCTTGTTTTCATGTTTACATAAAACTTTTCCCATCTGCTGTTCAAACACCAGTCTCAAGTCAGGCTCACAGTGTAAGTGGCATTCACCTCTTCAGCCTTTTCTGCAAAACCAATGTTCAACATTTTCTTCATCAAGTAGACAGAATTCATAGCCTAACTGGAAGGTTCCATCCCTCAAAAATTAAATTGTTCAGTGTCAATGCCTGTTGAGCCTAATAGCAATAGTGAAAAAGCCTTACTTCGAGTTGCTTTTTAAGTTGCTTCTCTCGTTCAGTGCTGCATTTAAGTTCACGGGCCTGGCATCTCAGCACCTCACTACAGCCACTGTGTTCCACCTCCACGTCTCTCAATTTCTTGCGTATATTTTGCAGTTCATTATTCAGTTCCTAGGAAAAAAAGAAAGCATTCTGAGATACTTTTTCTAACATAAAGTATTATAGCAGAAGGGTCAAAAGAGGAAAGCCAACTGCCTCAGAACAAGTTATTAAAATAATACACCAGCACAAGCCAGCAGAACCACTTGCCCAACAGCAGATGTGCTCACAGGTAACGTGTTGGCTCAAAACTTGCTATGAACATGACCTTCTGTGGTAATACTAAAATCAGAGCCAATTCTCCATAGGAAATTTTTCTCTAACAGAGTACAAGGCTGCTGTTCCAATCTCTTCTCTCTCCCAGTTCAATAGTAATGATGGAGAGGGAAACAGTTAAGTGCATTTGATGACATGAAACTTAGGGACAGAAGCTCTATTTTGTTCTTATCTTAACTGTTAGAACTTCGAATCAAATCATTTATTGAAAGTTACTTCCATAAACAAATTTCTGCTATTCTGTGAAGGACTTTTCTGCCTACAAACTGAATTACTTAAAAAATTACATACATAAACTACAAAGTTCTCAGAAGAATAAAATAACTAAGCTGTTCCCCACCACAATTTCTGCTTTTGGAAGCTGAACCAAGCTATAAGTTGGTGTAAGTACCAACACTATTGCACTCAGCAGCACTGCTACAAAATCCTCATTCACACCACAACACATGCGGAGGAAAGTAGCCAAATAGTGAACCTCAGTAGTCTGGCACATATTTCAGTTGGAGGTCCCAGAAGTCTCAAAAAGAATAGCTTTGTTCTAGTGGACAGGAGTAAGTTTTTCCATAACTAGCATTAGAAACAAGCTATAAATCTAATGACTCAGCTGAAGGACCTCTGGAGAGCCAATTTGTTAAAATTACTTTCTGCACAAAACACAGGAAGATTACCATAAGTCCTCCTGTTCATTTACTCCTACCATTTATCATGGCAAGAGAAATTTTGTGAAAATAAACCAGTTGGTCTGTAAATTCTGCTCTTACTCTTACATCACATAATTTTGTTCCTGGAAATTACTAATCATAAGGCATCTGCAGAGTGGGGAGGAGAAAGAGAAGAAAATGAATTATTCATAAAGAATGATTATTTGGAAGATTGAAGTTTGACAGAACCATGTTTATATATGAAGATCAAAGAAATATAAGTCTTTTCCAAAGTTTGGAAATCGAATTTTGGAAGTTCTTCCTGAATGAAGGTAGAATGTTTTGGCCACTCAAACACGACAATAAGAGAATCACAACTCCCTTATTAACACAGTGCTAAGTGTTACTAACTACTAAGTGAAGAAAATAAGTTTGTGGGGTTTATTTTCATGTGCAGGCACTATGTCACAATTTTTTTGGCATTCTCTGGAAAGGTAACAAGGAGCATGCATGTGGATTAAAAAACGTAAACCTCGGTAAATCAAAATATTGTAAAAATAGTCTATCTGCATATGGATTAAATTTAAGCTAATCCTCTAACTTTGCCTGTAATATCAAGAAATGAAGAGGTTTCTTCCCATCAGCATGCTAAAAAAATTACTTTCACTGAAATATACAACTACTCCCAGTTTTACCACATTGGAAAGATACAGAAATATTAATCTCTTTAGATTTATCTTCCACATACTAAAAAAAGTGAGCTGAGAAAAGTGCACATGAAATAAGTAATACATAGCTTGCTGGAAAATACTACATCAAGACTTTAAAATATTTTATAGTGGAAATGTATTTAACACTAGCAGCCTAAAACTGACAAAAATATTGCACCAAGTTTTTTGAACAAGTCAACAAGACTTGTAGAATTTCAGCATTGTAAAGTCTATGAACTTTCCAGATGTGGTATGACTGTGTCAGACTATTCCAGCAATCACCTGCACTTAGGAGTTCAAAGAGAAACATACTTCACCATGTAAAAAAACCCCCGTTATACATACATGCATATCTGCATGTCACATACTTTCTATACACATCTGCTTATGAAAAACATGCCTTTTTGTTTGCTTTTTTTTAAAGTCTGTATAAACAACACAACCACACAAATAGGCTAAGGAAAAACTGAGTGCTTCTGGGAAGGAGTATTATATCCTGATTAACCACAAGATGATGCTATTGCACTTACTATTGAACCCCAACACTTTTTATAATGTACTGGACAGCACGTTAAGCACGCTCAACAGAGCACAATACAAACCTGTTGGAGAGCAGAGAGGATTACTTTTCCTCCATATCATAGAGACAAATTTTAGTAGGTTACGCTGACTTCATTTCCACGCCTACCTGAGCATTTTCATAGCCAAGTTCAGATTCACAGTTCATAAAGTGCATCTTTGCCAACCAGGATTTGTCATACATACTTAGAATCTCACTTCTAACTACATAGTAAGACCACAATTAAATCTACTTTTATCTAGCTTTCATTTCATAACTCAGAATAACTATAAATTATTTTAAACAGGACTGTAAATACACAACACAAAACACTAGAACACATTTGAAGTCATAATTTATAACCCCCTCCTTTCAGATCTTGCCTTAAAACAGCTGAGGAATCAGCACACAGTACTTTTGAAATACACATAATTAAGGGATTCTCTCTGCCCTGTCTGTTTTAAGAGCTGCTTCTACAGGTCCCATATAGAATCTGACCAACAGCACCATAACATAATACAACAGGTAGGTCTGATGTCAGAAACTGGCTATCAAGCTGCCAGGTAAGGGTTGTTTAGTGTCATTTGGGAAGACTATTTCGTACTATCCCCAGCTTGGAGCTGACTGGGCAGGAAGAAAGCAATCAGAAAATTTTCTACTGCTTGACCAGTGCCCAGACCAACTGACACAAGTTTGTCACATCTTAAAAGGTGCTATAAAAGAAAACAATTTTAAAAATTGATCTTTTAGAAGCAATCTGTTCTCTGCATCCATTATGTAATATAAATGTCTGTCAGCCTTAACAGAGCCTTTGCACTAAACTTCTTTTTATGAAGGATACCTACAGCTGAATACATTCTAGCTTTCCCTCAGAGGGTATTATTACATAGCTAATATACAGTGTATTTCACTTGTCATTTAAACAGACAAAAATTATTAAAGTACATTGGTATCATTGTTTGTGTCCCTGTGGAGGAGGTAAAAGTTAGGTATGTTAAGTCAGCACTTCCATACTATAATACTACTTGATTTCTTGGAAACATATTTCAGTTTTGAATAGCTTGACTGTATAAAAAAGAAGTTTACACCTTTATTACTTTTTACACATTTAACATCTGATTTATACATATCAGTGCAATACAATTTCGAAAATTACTTTTTTCAGGAAATACGATGAAATTAACTATGTGAAGAACAAAAACTGACAGTCTAAAATAGATCTCTTAGTATTAGGTAATTTTTATCTAACCAAATGGCAGAGTTTCCAACAATGGTTATTTTTCATATGTGGTATGGAGCGAATTATGTACAATGCACAGCTGGAAATCCTGTCACCATTGCTCAGGTTCTCTGAAAGTATGTAGTCTTCGTATTATACAAATGATTTTCATATTCATAGGCTATTGGATATCAGACTCGGGGAAGTAACAGGGAAATTGAGTCAGTGGGTGTTGGGAGTCCCTGATGTTACTAACTCAGCATTACATGACAGTGCAAATGGACCCTGCACTGGTACCTTCGTTTAGGGGTTTACCATCAAAATCAGCCACAACACTTTTCATCAAAGCAAGAAAGACTGTGACACACTAAGTATAACTTTCTAAGGCTACATACTTCAGAAATATTCTGCAGTATTTAGCTATTTGGGGGATTTTTTCCTAAACCAGAAAGACCTCAACCCACTACAAATCTCACATCAACAAAGTTCCAGCCATCATCTCATGCAACTTTCCAACAATTAATATCATACCAGCAAAATCCTTTCTACTTCATTTCTTTCCTTAAGAAGGAATATGTATTCATTGTTGTAAATTCTGCTGATATCATCCTTTGCCCTTGAAAGTCTTTGTTGTTCTTCTTCCCACTTCTGCTGAGCATTATGAAATATTTTCTCAGTCTCCGTCGCTTTCTGCCGAAGATTTTCATTGAGTACTATTGTTTACAGAAAAAGAGAAACAAAAAGTACAAGTAGCTCTGCAAAGCATGTCCAGAAAAAAAAGTATGATGATCATCAGTTCTTCAGTGTACTGTGATATCCTGTGATATACTGGAATATTAACACTTCCAGCACTGGAATATTAACACTTCATTACAAAGAAACTATCAAATTTTGTGTTCCTATAGCATCTTTCACACAAGGAGATAGGAATATTTTAGAGATTTTTACAAATTAAAACTCTTCCCCTCTTAGAAAGGAATAAAAACTTGAGATAACTCTTTCAAGTGACCTCTCTATAGCATGGAGGATTTATTTTCAGATGTCTACATTTGGCCAGCTTATTTCCAAATGTAATTTTTGATGCAGATGTTAGTCTGTATCAATTAAATTTGAGCTCAATTTAAGTGACAGTAAAGACAGGCACCTGCTCCATGCAAGGGAGGTAAACCTAAGACATGTTGGGCTAGCAAGCAAAGGCTTAGCTTTTCCAGTGAAACTTATAGCTGTGCAAGAGATTTGAATCTTCAGCCCAGCAAACAACCTGAGATAGAGGAACATTGCACATACTCTTCTGTGAAAGCTCAAATGCCAGGGGAAGCTTCATTACCTGCAGGAAGTTTTATAGGAGCTTTGCTTAATTTTACTAACTGGCTTTCAGATGAAAATACTTTGTATTGGCCTTTCATTTTACTGAACACACCTAACTACACTGGCAATTAAGTGATCACCACTTTCTAACAGATTTTTATCTCAAATTCATCCCAGCTTTCTGAAATTTCTTCCTAGTCAGAGAAGAATGAAAAGAACAGAAGAGGCACATTAAGACAACACAGAGAGTCAGTGGACACAACAATAGGAAAAGACTGTCGGATTCAATGAGAATGGCAGAAAAACAATTTGGAGAAATACTGAAGAGGACAAGGTATAAATGAGGCATTCTGTCTAAGAAGCTTTGTTGGGGTCACATCAAAGCACCACATGAGGTGAGAAAGGTTCCAAGTGACCAAGGAAAAAAACTAAAGGATTAAGCACAATGATAATTTGAGGGTTTTTGCACTTGTCACAGAAACAAAAAGTTTGAGAAATTTTGACCAATGGAATTTACTGTCAGTTGACAGATTATAATTCCTGGCTATGGTACTGAAAGAAACTAACACACACACATACACACACATCCATTCAAGAAAACATCCCTTGTCTCTGCAAAACCCCTCCTATACCCTTTTTGTTCACCAGTCCCCTCACCACATGTTAGCCCAGTCCCTTCATGAAGGTGACAGGTAACATAGCAGACTGGGGTCACTGTGCTGTGGTTCCTCCATCAGCATCAGTCCCTTTTGAGTCCTGCCTCTTGGTGCTGGCATGGCACTACTCACTTCTAAGTTGGTAAGGAAATTAGCAGTAGAGTGAGCATGCACAGAAGGAAAGAGCTTTTGTCCAGGTGAGAAACTAGCAGTTCAAGTCTTCAGCTTGCAATCACAGAGAAATTTCCAAGGGAAAAAAAATGCCTTCTTCCAGTTTGCAATCCATTAGATTTGTATATATCATGTGTTTCTCCAAAGGAGTGAAAGTTCAGCCTTCCAATTATTTTAAAACCAATTGGTACTTTTACTACTTGCAAGATTCAGAATCTGCTTCCATTCTTGGAAGGTTAAAATCTTCAAGAGTAGTGCTCCAAACTCCTCATTGAATATCAAAGGTTCATCAAACTCACAAATTCATCTCTTGTACTAGATTAAAAAGATACTATACCAGTTTAGGTAACTAAAAATGCACCTCACTTACTTGTAAGAATGAGAAATCTCTCTCTGTTTGAGGAGTATGAAGGAAATCTGAGTTTCTGAATATGAAAGTGGTACGAAAAAAAAGCCTAGATAAAATCATTCCTTTCCACATACTACTGTCACAACATGCATTACCTTTAAAAAGAGAAACAAAGATGACAAGAAGAAAATAAACCAGATAAGAACAATGAAAAGTGTGAAACATTTGAAAAGATGAAAGAAAATAGCAGTATGAGGAGAACTTCTGGAAGTAAAGCTGCTGCAAATATGCAAACAAATTAAGAGGAAAGGATTTTTTTCTTTCTTTCTTTCTTTTTTTTCCCCTGAAATGGAAAAGGAAGGACTACTGGGCATGGAGATAACCACGATGTGGAGACAGTCAAATCCATCATGATTACAGCTCTGTACATAGACACACAGGAAGGAATAACAGAAGGTAAGGAGCAAGAGGTAAAAAAAGGTCTGGCAGGTTAGTTTTAATCCACATGAGACAGGAATTTTGTAAACTCTTATGAGTTTTCAAAGCAGATGGATAAAAGATGGGAAGGGTAAGAGAGATCCAAGAAAAAGAGCAGTAACTAGAAAATTTAATTAAGTCCCTGATTCTCACTTATCTTACTGACTTGGAACTGATTTAGCCTTTATCCCATCTTTGCTTCTTTGAAACTTACCTTGCAGTTCCACAAGTTTGTTTTTCGCATCACTTAATTCTTCTTCTGCAGTACACATTTTCAGATGGGCATCTTTTCTTGCAACTGCCAATTCATACTCCAGACTTTGTCGAATGGCCTCTCCTCTCTCAAATTCCAACCGTAATTTGATTATCTGGCTTTCATAGTTGGATACCTAGAAAATAAATTTCTTTCAGAAAACTGGCAAAAATGTTCCTGTGAAAAACTGTGAAATGTTACAGAAATACACCTACAGAATATTGTTAAAAGATATTTTGAATCCCATTCACAACTGCCATCTTATTCCGCTTGAATTTGAAATATGCTCATGCAACTGCATATTTATGCCCATTTTGATACTTCTACTGGTTTCGTGCAAACTGATCCTATTCCTGGATGAATTTCATGTATATTCAGCATACCCCTGTTTTTCAAAAAAACATACTGCCTTAAGAAAATTAACATTTGAATACTGTCATCTTCCTGCAACTCAGAGGAAAAAATGCAACAACAGAAACATATTCCACAGACAATTTTCTGTGAAACTTTCCTTAACACTCACAAAAACAGTTACATTGGGACAGTAGACTGTCAGACATCTAATAGCTCACAAGTATACGCACAAGCATAACATTCAGTCCAGTAATGTCCAGAAATCAAACCAGAATGCTGTTAATGTTAACAGAACAAACTAAGAATGAAAAATACTTTAAAAAGGGATATTATACAGACTAGGAAACATAGTGTAATCTTTGCTGCCAAAAACTGGATCCAGAAAATCAAATCCATGCTATTTCAACACAAGAAGGTGGAAAGTAAATTACGTATTTCTTCGGAACATGTACAAAGTAGCATGTTCAAATGAAGTAAAAGAAAATACTTACTTAATCTTTTCTTTAGTTTGAATGTCAGCTTTCTCATTAGCAAACATACGAAAAGGTGGCCACTGAGTGTGGCACTGCTGTAACCGGTTTCAATTTATTGCTACTAGGTACACCTCCCACACTTGCTAATGCCAATCTGGCAGCTGATAACCTGGTTTAAATTGTGCTGCTGAAGAAGTACTATTACTACTATAGGCAACAAATCTACTCTTAGCTGTCTGCTAGGTGCAGTTGATGTGGGTGTTCATTCATCTGTTTTTGGTGAAATCCAGCCAATAAACCAAGTTTGCTGTTTCATATCCATTTATTATCCGAGTATGTACCCAAATTAAGAGATGGCTGCTTCTCCCACAATGATTTGCTCTTGTGCTTCAGTTAAGTCATTATTTTCCCACTGCCCCATCAACTGTGGGGTGATTCTATAAAATGGATCCCTGGAATTATCTTGATTAAAAGTAACAAAGAAACAAACAACCGCTTACATTGAGCTGGGGGTGCACAAAATTCTTCTGCAACATTTTGCTGTTGTGAAGTGCTCAGGTTACCTACATCCACCTTTAACTATGACAGTAGAGGTGCTAGCAGTTCCTATGAGCAGGTATGAGGTCTCTACAGTGACACCTTCCTTGTTATTTTTCAGTTAGTGACTGTGCTTTTGATCCGCCACATGAGAGTATTATTTTAATGAAAAAAGAAAACATTTATTCAAGAGTAGTAAAGTAAACAAAAGTCTTTACCTCTTGATTGTGTTGAATAGTTAAGTCTAAATTTTCTGCTTTAGCTTGAAGAAGTTTCCATCTCAGATCTAAAACAGCATCCAAATCTGATTCACTGCTATTCTGGTGTAACTCACACTCCACATTATGTAAGCTGCAAAATAAGAACATTATCAAAAAAACTGAGTATTCCTTTCAAGTTTAAATGCTCCATTATTTTAGTTATTAGATTTTGAGTCCTAAGTTCTAAACATTCACCTAAGTAAAATTATGTCACGCAGCTGGAATCATACTATTCCTCTTTTGAAAAAAGGGTTATATATATTGCTTATTGTGCAAGATATGAGAGATGTAGCAGCAGGAGCTTAAAACAGATATGCATTTTGTATTTCCCAAAGTTGATTTCAGTATTTTTTTTTATTATTTTTCATTATTTTCCTTATTGATTCAATAAACTTCCAGAATGCTTAAAAAACACCACTCCAATCACATACATTAAAATGACTAGCAAGGTTTTGGTTGCCTCCACAGTAAGGTTCATTTTTTAACATGGCTTACCATCTCAAAAACATCTCTGTCATGACACAAATGCATATATGGGGTGCAAACCTCACTCTTCCAGATTTTTTTTTCAAAGACACATACATTTAAACTACAGAGAAGCAACTGATCACAAACAAAATACAAATTAAAGGTCTAGTTCTCTAAACAATCTCTATCTTCATTTCCACTGCTCTTTCAGTTAAAAAAAACCCAACTATTTGGCAGGTAGCTGGACCCACGTTTGAGCACCACAAGCTGCACCTGAGTCAGGACAATGTCTGGTATCAATACAGGCTGAGGGACAAACATATCGAGAGCAGTCCTGCCACAAAGGACTTGGGGGTGCTGATGGATGAGAGGCTAGACATGAGCCAGCAGTGTGCCCCTGCAGCCCAGAAAGCCAGTTGTATCCTGGGCTGCATCCAAAGCAGCGAGGCCAGCAGGTCGAGGGAGGGGGCTCTATCCCTCTACTCTGTTCTGGTGAGACTCCACCTGGAATGCTGCATCCAGCTCTGGGGTCCCCAACAAAAGAAGCATATGGACCTGTTGTAGCAAGTCCTCACGAGGCCAACAAGTTGATTAGAGGGATGGAGCACCCCTCCTACAAGGAAAGGTTGGAAGAATTGAGCTTGCTCAGCTTAGAAAAGAGAAGGCTTCAGGGCGACCTAATTGCAGCCTTCCAATATCTGAAGGGAGCCTATAAAAAAGATGGAAAGAGACTTTTTACAAGAGTATGTAGTGACAGGATGAGAGAAATGGCTTCAAACTGAAAGAGAGTAGATTCAGACTAGATATTAGAAAAAATTCTTTACTGTGAGGGTGGTGAGGCACTGAACAAGTTGCCCAGAGAAGCTGTGGATGTCCTATCCTTGGCAGTGTCCAAGGCCAGGTTGGATAGGGCTCTGAGCAACCTGGTCTCATGGAAGGTGTCCCCGTCCACAGCAGGGGGATTGGAACTAGATTATCTTTGAGGTTCGTTTCAACTGAGGCCATTCTACGATTCTGTGATTTAATGACTGTATTGACACGGCATAGATTGCATGTACCACACCATCTTCTTCAGCCTGAATTATGTACTTTCAGGGACCTAGAAAATAAACCACAAAAACAGTAACTCTACTACTAGACTTAAAAATACAGAAGTGGAGCTCACCTTTTAGTTTCTGTGACAGAGCAGTTGACTGGAGAGGATGAACTCATGATGTCCAGTAGGCAGCTTTTAAGTCTATAAACTCTGGAAAATTAAGCCTTGACTTTTACTAGATAAGTTTCAAAGATTATTCTTCCATATCATAAAAGCATTAAAACCTGTAACAGAGACCTGCTTTAGTTTATTTGGCAACATAATAAAAGAATCTTTGGTTAATACTCATGATCAGTTATGAAACAGTGTTACTACGTCATGTGAATAATTACCACCAACTGTAATTTTACATCAGTTTTAGTCAACAATGAGAACTGTACTTCTAAGCTTAAATATTGTAGGTTAATATATATATAGTAATATAGTAGAATATCCACTGTCAAGGTTTTCAGAATGTCGATAAAAAATATGTTTGCTTACATTGATCCTCTGAGTTCTCTATTCTCCTAAGAAGACTACAAACTCCATTTCTCTTCAAAATAAATCTATGGGAGACAAATGCATACATCATGATTGCATAATGTCTGACATCAGCTTTTAATATAGCAAGTCTTCCAAATGTTTCATAAAAAATTTTTGACTTGGACATATCTTTACTGTATATATATCAGCAATATTTAGGAGTATAAAGAAAAAAACTAAATTGAACATAACTCCATTCTAACCCAGTTAGAAAAAACTCACTAATTTAGTGTTACTAATAAAAAAGCAAACAATACAGATAACATATTTATAACACAGACTTTAAAAAATTCCATTATTTATTTCAAGTTGAACAGCAAATTCATAAATGAGCTCTTTCCATTAATTAAAGCAAGGTAACATGAAGAACAAGTTGTATTCAACACTTGAGATTGACAAGACATTAAGGTTTGTTTTTGGATGCTGCCGCACATGGACATCCATATTATAGTCCAAAAAAGAAACTAGCCTGTACTCCATCTCTGGCTGAGTTGGAAGGGACCCATCGGATCAGGCCATCCTGGCCCTGCACAGGACCATCCCTAAGAGTCACACCATGTGCCCAGGAGTATTGTCCAAATGCTTTTTGAACTCTGTCAGGCTTGGTGCTGTGACCACTTCCTTGGTGCTGTGACCACTTCCAAAACCTTTTCCTGATGTCCAGCCTAAACTTACCCTGACTCAGCTTCATGCCATTTCTCCAGGTTCTGTCACTGGTTGGGAGAATGAAGAGATCTGTACCTGTCCCACCTCTTCCCCTCATGAGGAAGCTGTAGACTGCAATACGGTCTTCCTTCAGTCTCCTCGAGGCTGAACAGATCAAGTGACCTCAGCCACTCCTCATACAGCTTCCCCTCCAGACCCTTCACCATCCTTGTGGCCCTTCTTTGGATGCTAAGAGCTTAATGTCTTTTTTATACTCTCCAACAGCAGCACTTGCTATAATATATTAACTATAAACTGATTTTATTCATTCCAGTTGCTAATAACCTGCACTAGAAATATGAAGAGGAAAAAACACATTTCAGCTTCAATGTATAATTTTAACAGAAAATGTTGCAAAACCAGACTTATTATTTCTAAAAACTCTGAGTTAATGGGTTTGGGTTTTGTTTTGCTCTGTTTTTACAGAAAAGCAGTATATTTATAAAGAATAGCTAGATATATTTGTGATTTTTATATATATAGATATAAACATAAATTCTATATAAATTTGTGATTTTTAACATCCACCCATCAGAATTCACCTTGGTACATGTGTTCATAAAACCCCAAACACTTAATTACCATACAACAGTCATTCACACTCCTAGAGAAAATGATGCAGCTTTCTTTTCATCTCAACTGAGAAAACAGTTAAGTCTTCATTTTTTAAGTACAGACTGTGGTATAATTGTCTAAGTACCTCTTAAGGCCCATTGAATTATTGGTGACTTAAAGAGAAGAAGGTCTTGACAGAGTATTTTGAGTATTCTACTCAACAAAAATCAATTGCTTGGATATAAAAAAAAATGCGGTATCATGGTATGGGAAACTATACCTCTATTAAATGTGTCAAATTTTCACATTAAGATGTAGCTCTGAACACCATGAAACTAGTTTTTCATACCATACTTTGTTCATGCTTTATTGAAACTTATAGCAAAATCTGATAATGTACAGTAGAAAAATAAAAAAAATTGGTACAACTAAAATGTTTTCTGGGAATGCTAATGATTTTGAAAATGCAACATTCCTTTGTTAAGATACATATCCAAAGTTTATTAGCACACAAATGGATACACTCTGAAAACATGCTAATTCAATTACAAAAAAAAATATCCAAGTGGCATGGAGTGGCTCATAAGACCTAAACCGAACAGTAGAAGAAGTTTTTGCTTGAGGAGATAATACGTTCGAGGGGTGTTACCTACAAAACTTGTGTCATATTCTCCTCACAAACTTCTGTATACACTTAACTAACTTTATCAGCTTCATTGATTTAGATCGGATATGAGGAAGAGAGTCTTTACTGTGAGGATGGTGAGGCACTGGAACGGGTTGCCCAGAGAAGTTGTGGATGCCCCATCCCTGTACGTGTTCGAGACCAGGCTGGATGGAACTCTGAGCAACGTGGTCTAGTGGAAGGTGTCCCTGCCCACCAGGGAGGGGTATGGAACTGGATAATCTCTCAGGTCGCCTCCAACCCAAACAATTCCGTGACTGAAATCACTCAAATTAAATCTAACCAGATTTATTTAATTTAAAACAGGCGTAACTAGCACAACTGAGCTGCAAAGTATAAAAACTTAACAGCACTTATTTCGGCTGAACGAACCACTAGGTTTTCATTAAAGCGAACCAAAAAAATTAAAGCAAGCTAAAAACCAGAGCAGCAGCATCCCCTCGCTCCGCTAGCCCCCGAGCGGCGCTGGCTGAAGCGGTGCCGGGGCAGAGCGCCGTGCCGGCAGCTCTGGAGCTTTACCTGGCACGAAGGGTTGCGGGAACAGCGGCAGGACAGAGCTCCAGCAGCAGCACCCCGGGGCCGCTCCGGGAAATGCCGTGCAAATTCCTGATCCCGCCGGGAAGGACGCGGCGCCTTCCCAACGGCAACTTCCGGCTGCGGCGGAACATCATCATGGGGCCGTCATTGCCGGCATCCCCGACGGCAGCGAGGCTGTGCCCTCCTTCCCAAAGCTGCCGGCGTCCGAGCATGTTTACAGCTGGGTAAGCAATCACAAAACACGTTTTAGGGATTCTGAATTCCAAAAATATAATCTGCGTAAAGGAAATTAAAATGATATGACTAACGTGAGAGCCAGATTGAGGTGTGGATGTCCTCCAATTCGGGACAGCGCATTTTTCACCCAAATTATTGAGAGAAACAAACAGGTGAATTATTTGGAAAGACCATGGGACAAAAACCACAGCAGGGTGGATGAGGGAGATGGATAATGAGGTTACCACTCCCCTTCTTACACTGATTCACAAAAATTACTTTAGACATAAAAGTATTCCTGCGTGCATGTAGCTAAACAAACACCTTTCCTTATTTCCACACAGAAAAATACAACTGATATAGAGAACCATAGAATTATTTAGGTCGGAAAAGACCTCTGAGGTCAAGTCCAACTATTAGCACAGCACTACCAAGTACAGCACTGCACCATGTACCTGAGTGTCACATCTACACAACTTTTAAATACTTTCAGGGATGGGAACTCAACCACTTCCCTGGGCACCCTGTTCCAGAGTTGGTAACTCTTTCAGTGAAGAAACTTCTCATGTCCAACCAAAACCTCGCTGGAGCAACTTGAAATTCTGTCCTCTTTTTAACTCTGAGAAGAGACCAACAATCCCCACAACCCCCTCGCTATAACCTCCTGTCAGGTAGTTGTAGAGAGCAATAAGGTCTCCCCTCAGCTCCCTTTTCTCAAGGTGGAAACAAATCAGAGTGATATGACACACGGAATTCAACATTAACTTATTTTTTCAGAAAGAACTGTTGATGATGTGTTTAGAAAGAGTGCTTGATGTTCAGGGAAAAAAAGAGAGGAGAACATGGTGCTTAAGTGTGGGTCTGGCCTTGGTAGAGAAAGAAGCAACTGCTCCACTTGCAGACACGACACCAACATGCTTCTTTGCAATGTGACCTAATCCGCACCTACAGGAAATCAGTTGGAATGACTGTTTCAAAGTGGAATGACTGTTTCAAAGTGAGAAGCTCCAGATGTACAACTCCTCACAGGAAGAACTGGTTTTCACCTCTGAAGCTCATTCCTGGCTTGTAACAACTTAATGTGTATCAGGCTACTGACCTCTTCCTCAAGCACCAGGTGGCAGGTCTGGCTGAAGCCTTACAGATTCTGTCATTCAAAATGAAACCATTTGCTAAAAAATGCTGATGTAGTCCTTGAAGTTTGTAAGAGCATGAGTGTGACATCTTACTCTCTTGCATGTACAAGGTCTGGATTACAAAATACACTTTTCCTTCTGTGCTTCAGTATTTTGTCTTCAGTCTTACAGTTACTTAACATGTACAAATGCACCCAATTACATACAAAACATAACTTGTTCAAACAATTTTTTTTTCTCTCTTTAAAAAAACCAAATTATACTTTGGTTTCTTTACCTTTAAAAATGCTTCAGTCACATTATTGTCTTTTGAATAACACCCTACCCTACTTTTTCATGTCATCAAGTCACCTTGAGTTGCTTCCTTAATTAAAAAGAAGTATTTTCAGCTGCTCTTCACAGATTTTAATACAAGGTGCAAAGCTTCTGATTCCTGAAAAAATGTCAGACTCAAAGGAGTGTTCCAAAGGCTGAGGAAATTATAATATCCTCGAGAGATTCCAAAAGCATTGTTTTAAAACTAAGTTGTGAAGTTATTTAATCTGATGCTCAAGAGAAATCTAACTGTATGATTAAACAGAGTAGTGACTTAACTAAGGGAATTCCTGCAGATTGTGAATTCCTGTGTAGCAAAATATTAATATACACAGTTTTTGCAGTACTCAACACTTTCTCATTTAGGAAAAAGTATAAAACTTTATGTATTGATGAAATAAGAATGATTCAGTACAGCAAAGTAAAGACGTACATATCTGCAAGTGTCTGCAAATGCAGATATGCGCCACTGTCAAACTTTTATCTTCCTCTAAACAATTCTAGATGTACAGTCCACCTTAGTCTTATTTTTTAACTAACTTTTGTCACAAGACGTCATTCTTTTGTGCATAGGAAGAAAGGTTTTCATCTGTCTAATATATTGATGATTTTCTATTTTTTTGTGAGATCTTGTCTAACTCTCTAGGAAACTGATGTCAGGAATATAAGCTTTCCCACCTCAAAGAAAGTCATACAGATGGTGTGAAGTTTTGTAGTTAACATTTATAAGTGAACATTTTGCATTTAAGGACAAGAGAGCCTAGAAAAAGCACAACTTGCTCTGTGGCAACTGCAGTGGGTGTTTTGGGCCTAACTTGATTTTCAGTATCAAAGCTGAAAGTGGTAAGATGATTCTTCTCACAAGGTCTTATCTTTGTGTGTAAGTAGCACAGAGAGCAGCTGGCAGAAAATTGGCCTCTGAAAGTTGTGCATCAGGCCACACACTGAGGATGAGAACTCAAGCACAAAATGGGTAGGTCTGCCCCTGTGAAACAGTATAAGGGGTAATCTTTTGTGCTACAACTCTTACAGCTTTTGACAGGTTTTGGCACCTAGTGTATGGCACAGACATACAGTACAATGACTTGCAGGGGGCACTGTGTGGGACCATCACTTAGAGTTAAAGCCACAGAGAGCTGAAAGGCTGGCTAATTTTTGATGCAGAAGAACTAGAACTAGACATAACAGAACAGGCAGGCTGTGTGAAAGAAGCGATTGAATCTAAATTTGGATCTGAGGTCTTCTGTTTGAAGAAAGGAGCAAAAGTGTCAGTGGAGCAAAGCATCAGATGTTGGAGGTGGCTGATGTGCTCAGCGAGGAACCATCTGACAGAAACGGGAGAGGAGTGTGCAGTGGCTGAAATGCTGGGTGAGAAGGGAGCTTAATATGGATGGGCAAGCTAGCAAGGAGAGAGTAGGTAGGGAGAGGACAAGGGGAGTAACAAAAAGTCTGAATTTATAGCAACCTAGTTAAACAAAACCAAACCAAAACATAAAACTCAACATTGAACTCACTCTAGCCACTTTTATTGGGGATAACAAGAAGTGCTTCTACAAATACATCAATAGTAAAAGGAGGGGCAAGGAAAACCTCCATTCTTTGTTGGACATGGGGAGGAACATAGTCACCAAAGATGAGGAAAAGGCTGAGATACTTAACACCTTCTTTGCCTCAGTTTTCAACAGTAAGACAGGTTGTCCTCAGGACAACTGGACTCTGGAGCTGGTAGACAGAGACAAGAAGCCAAATTCCCCCTATAATCCAGGAGAAAACAGTTAGCGACCTCCTAAGCTACTTGGATCCTCGCAAGTCTATGGGACCAGATGAGATCCATCCTAGGGTGATGAGGGAGCTGGTAGAAGAGCTCGCCAAGAGGCTCTCCATCATTTACCAACAGTCCTGGCTCACTGGGCAGGTCCCAGATGATTGGAAGTTGGCAAATGTCATGGCGATCCACAAAAAGGGTCGGAAGGAGGACCCAGGAAACTACAGGCCTGTCAGCCTGACCTCAGTGCCTGGCAAGGTTATGCAGCAGATCATCCTAAGTGCAATCACACAGCACCAGCCAGCACAGGCTTAGGAAGGGCAGGTCCTGTCTGACCAACCTGATCTCTTGTTATGACCAGGTGACCCCCCTGGTGGATGAGGGGAAGGCTGTGGTTGTGGTCTATCTGGACTTAAGCAAAGCCTTTGACACCATCTCCCATAGCACACTCCTGGAAAAGCTGGCAGCCCACAGCTTGGACAGGGGCACTCTGTGCTGGGTTAGGAACTGGCTGGAGAGCTAGGCCCAGAGAGTGGTGGTGAACGGTGCTGCATCCAGTTGGTGGCTGGTCACTAGTGGTGTCCCCCAGGGATCAGTGTTGGGCCCTGTCCTGTTTAATATCTTCATTGATGATCTGGATGAGGGGATCGAGTGTACCATTACCAGATTTGCAGATGACACCAAGCTGGGGGGAGTGTTGATCTGCTGGAAGGCAGGAGGGCTCTGCAGAGGGACCTGGAGAGATGGTCTGATTCCAATAGGATGAGGTTCAACAAGGCCAAGTGCCGGGTCCTGCACTTTGGCCACAACAACCCCCTGCACTGCTACAGGCTGGGCACAGAGTGGCTGGAGAGCAGCCAGGCAGAAAAGGACCTGGGAGTTTGGATTGACAAGAAGCTGAACATGAGCCAGCAGTGTGCCCAGGTGGCCAAGAAGGCCAATGGCATCCTGGCCTGGATCAGGAACAGTGTGGCCAGCAGAATCAGAGAAGTGATTCTTCCCCTGTACTCAGCACTGGTGAGGCCACACCTTGAGTGCTGTGTCCAGTTCTGGGCCCCTCAGTGCAGGAAGGACATTGAGGTGCTGGAGCAGGTCCAGAGAAAAACAATGAGGCTGGTGAAGGGACTGGAGCACAAGTCCTATGAGGAGAGGCTGAGGGAGCTGGGGTTGTTCAGCCTGGAGAAGAGGAGGCTCAGGGGAGATGTCATCACTCTCTACAACTCCCTGAAAGGAGGTTGTAGCCAGGTGGGGGTTGGTCTCTTCTCCCAGGCCACCAGCAATAGAACAAGAGGGCACAGTCTTAAGCTGTGCCAGGGGAGGTTTAGGTTAGATATTAGGAAGAAATTTTTTATGGAGAGAGTAATCAGGCATTGGAATGGACTGCCCAGGGCGGTGGTGGAGGTTTTAAGATGAGACTGGATGTGGCACTTAGTGCCATGGTCTAGTAATCATGGCAGTATTGGATCAAGGGTTGGACTTGATGATCTCAGAGGTCTTTTCCAACCCGGCTGATTTATGATTCTATAAAAAAACAAACCAATCAACCAACCAAAGAAACAAAAAAAAGCAACGAAAAAACTCCCGCCAGACCCAGGAGTAGTGCCCACTGAGTAGCAGGTAAGAACTCGGTAGACTTAAGAAACTGAGACCACGGCTTGTTGAATGCTAGGGAAGTCAAGGCATAAAGAGAAGTAGCTTTGGGGCTGGCAGCAACATGGGATGAGAAGCCCAGGAACGGGAGGGCTCAGTAAAAGAGCTCGTGCAGAGGGAGACAGGCCAAGGAATCCGCGGGGACAGTGGCACCCGCCCCCTTTGCAGACAAGCGTGGCAATCCTTAGCCACTCCAGCCTGTGAGCGGCTGGGCAGATCCCACTCGCCCGTGCCCGTGGTCCCGCTGGATGCCTGCCCGGACAGCCCTCCCCCCTCCGCCGCGGCCCAAGACAGCCGCGCGACTGCGCCACCACGGCTCCTCCTGCTCCTCTTCCTCTCCCCCTGCCCCGCCCCCACTGGGGTGGAACGAACCACTTCTATGGCTGAAGGGAGAAGGAGTCTCGCTCCATTCCTTCCCCCAGCCCTGCCTCGAGGCCGGCGGACGGCTGCCCTTCCTGGCTGCCTGCGTTTTTCCCAGGCGCGGAGGTGGGAGCTGAGCCGTCTGTTTTACGTCTGTTCCTCCCGCCAGCGCGGAGCTCCCCCGCCGCCGCGTTGCAATGTGCCGGGCGGTGCCGCCCTCAGGCGGGAGGGGGGGCGTGACCGTGTTTCCCGCGGCGGGCGGCGGGCCGGGAGCCAGGGCGGTGGACAGCGGGAGCGACCTGGTGAGGCGGCGGGAGGGAGGGAAGGAAGAAAGGAAGGTTGGAGGGAGAAATGGATGGGTTGATGGGTGGACAGAGAGAGGGAGGGAGGGCAGGCGGACGGTCAGAGTTCCTCATACGCCCCCCGCGCTGCGCTCCCGCGCCATCGTGCCCGTGGGGGCGGGTGGCCGGCCGGGCCTGGGGGGGGATGCGGAGGGCGGGCGCGGCGGGCGGCTGGGCCTTGCCCGCGTGGCGCCTCGGGGGTCTCCCGGCGGGGGCGAGGGGCGGGCGCGGCGCGGTAGCTCCGGCCGGGGCCGCTCGGCCTTGCAGACGTGCCCTCGCGTGTTGCCCTTGTGCCCGCCCCACCGCTCCTGTGTGTTTATCCCTGCAGCGAGGGGCACCTCGGGCGGCCGGCAGAGCCTCGACGGGTGCTCTAGGCGCAGAGCTCTTCCTTGGCCCGCTCGTCTGGCGGTAACAGGGCGGCACGTCGGTGAGAAAACATGAGCCGAGATTTCAAACCTGGAGACCTGATCTTTGCCAAGATGAAAGGTTATCCGCATTGGCCGGCCAGGGTAAGACTCCCCCTCGTCGCCCTCCTCCGTTCTGTGCGGGATGCGCTCACACACCTGTGCGGGACAGGGCCTCAGGCCTCCAGCCTCCCTCCTCTGAGGGAGGGCACGGCCGTACTCCCGAGAGTGGAAGCGGCTTCTCAGTCACACTGCAGGCCCCTAACAAGTGCTGCTGCGAACAAGTAGCCCTGTTCAGTAGTGATTAGTTGTCCTAATTTGTGTAACTCGGCTTTCAGGAATGAAGACCTCTCTATGGTAGTGTGATGCTGGAGCCGTGCAGGCCCCTATCTGTGCAAAAATACTGTTCCCAAATAACTGCTCTTCTTTGGCTAAAGGAAAATACGAAGTTCTGACAGTGTTACTCCTAAGTCAGCTATTTTTACCATGCTTCCTGTTAAATAGGCTAAGTTTTATAGTAGCTTGTCCAGTCCTTTAGTAGGCTCTCCTTGCTCCTGTGGAAGAGGCATGCCAGGTTCTGGGACTGCTGTGGGTCATTTGATGGCTGTGGAAATGTAGCTAAAACAGTATTTAGCTAAGATGCTGACTTAGGAGTTGTTTGGGGTTTTTTTAAAGTTTATTACGCTTTTGGTAGTACTTGAACTTCAGCAAGTTATCAAGTCAGCATAAGGGTGGGAAGTCTTTCTGTTGCTTTTGCTTAAGGAAGGGAGGTACATGTATGGAATTGAGTTGATCTTTTTATCTGTAGCACATCATATCTCTCTTTTTAAAAGAAGTAGTCATATGAAGAGTGTTGCTGTAAATTAGAAGTGTTGTCATTTTCAATTGTTGCTAATACTGTTTTTGATTCTACTGTATTTTTTAACATACATCTAAAAAGAGCTCTCAAGACCTACTTTAGTTCTCTGTAAAGAAGCTTTTTTATTCCTGTTTAGTGCTTAATGCTTTTACTTATTTCCCCCAGACAGTTCTTAACTGTTATTTGACTTGAATTATGGTCTGTGTTTTCCTTAGGTGGATGAAGTTCCTGATGGAGCAGTAAAACCTCCTATGAATAAAATGCCTATTTTCTTTTTTGGCACCCATGAGACGTAAGTCCTTTATATTTAGGGGTCATATTTTTTTCATTCTAAAATGCGGTGACAAGAAGTTATCATCTTCTCTGAATGTCATGTATTTTTAACTATTGTATTAATTAACAGACCAGTTCTTCCTAAATTAATCTCTTTTGTCAAGTCATGCTTCTCTAACATTTGCTTAAACTGTTCAAGTGAACAGTAGACCATAAGCATATTGTGTACACTTTGTTAATCAGAAGGAAAAAAATCATACGCACAGTGGTATGACTGATGGTTTTTTTTCCTTTTTCAGTAATGAGTTTTAATTATAGTCCTATATATCCTCAAAATGCTCAATAATATATTCTCAAAGAAAGTGAAATAAGGCTGAGAACGGCGTAGTAGTCAAAATTTGAGAAACAGACAGATGATCATGTATTGGGGTTGTTGTGGGTTTTTTTTCTAGAGAGGTTTTGGATTGTGGGTGTTGTTATTTTTTATGAGATCTATAGAGAAAAATGAGGAAGTGCAGTTAGCTTTACACCTGTCAGCCAGCAAAATACTGATCTCTGGGGACTCTCAGCAATGCTGGCATTTGCTTTGAGGGACTGTATATCTTCCACTGCTGAATTTGATTGTTAATATGCTGGGATTTATGCAGTTCTGTCTTTTTGAAAGGTATTGTGTTACTTTGTAGCATGACTGGTTGTGTTAGTGTAGATCTGTAACATCAGATTCAGTGCTCCATTTGTTGAGTTATTTTAAAAAAATCCCAAACTAAAACCTGTACTGGTGTGCTTTTAATTCTTCTGTTTTTCTTAATAAAATGGCAGGTCAGAGATAAAAGTTGTGTATACAAGTACTCCATTTCTTGCGTTTTGTGGCAAGACCTTGCTTTTTTCTCTTCATTTTATTAAATCTATTGAAATTGCCTTAATCTGGTAGTTTGCATCTATCTTTTAGTAAGCCACGCTTAGACAAGAAGTTGAATTAAAGAATAGTCATCCCTTACTCTCTTGACATCACTTGTTACTTTGTTCTTTGTACTTTTTTAAGAAGTGATTTTTCTGATGAAAAATATTTCTATATGCTTGGCTCGTATGGTTTTGTTTAAGTGGTCTCATCTTTCAGTAGATCTTTTAATGTTTTTAGTTTGGTTGTGGTTTGTGTGTATGTGTGGTTTTGTGAGTAAAGAGGGGTTCCTGGAATTTGATTCAAGGTAGCGAGGTTTGTCTTGTCCATTTTTTTAATTACCATTTTAAACAATGTGGCAGGTTGCCTTTTTTTTCTTAGATTTTTTTTTTTGGCCACTGAAAGGTGATACTGCTTTGATTCTGTTCCTGATAATATGTGTGTCATTCTGTATTGCACTGAGGCTTTGTGCAGTTGTAAGTTTAGGAATACAGGTTGAATATAAGGGAGACAGAACTCCTTATCTAAACCTTTAAAAATATCTTTGCAAATTTTGTGAGGCATCATGGCCAACTTCAGATTTAGCTTAGGCTCCTGAGAGATGTGTGAGTTGGGAAGGTTTGGTGACTGGGGGTTTTTTTGTACTTTATGTGAGTAAATTTGAAATGTCTAGTCCTCACTCATTGATATGGTTAGAAAATAAAGTTTTACTGCAATTGTTTTTTGTTAGGCTGTGGCTTCCAGTTTGCTGCATTTCAGAGATCCATAGAACAAAGAGAAATTTCTTACCTTCATTTCATACATATAGCAATGTACAGGGTGTTCCATGACCCAGCTGTCTCCCAGTGTTTGTTAAGCATGTTGCTTACCTAGTGCTCTGTAAAGTGGTAGCAGATGAAACTCTTATACTTCTTTTTTTCACTTACTGCTTACAGCAGATACCTGTAAGTAACAATAGGAAGGAGCAGATCAGGTAAAACTGGAGAATGATATTCCATGTTTTGTTTAGGTTTGTAGTTGTAAATAGTGACTTAGGGATCCATCAGGAATTACGTCGAGTTAACAATTTTCTGTACTTTTTCATGAGAAATAAAGTAAATTTGGTAAACTTGTTCTCTGCTGTGCTTCTCGCAGTTAAATCTTACACACCTGTGCAAAGTTAGACACTCTGTACCTCCAGCATGTTAGTAGGCTGTACATATACAGTTCGGCTTACTGTAAGTAGTGGCAACTCTGAAAATCCACAAAATTAGTTTGATTATGCTAAAAAGTGGATAGTTACAACACGAAAACAGAACTGTGGGGAAAAAGGAAAACAAGACTGGTTTGGGAGTAATTCTTACTTGACTTTTAGGAATAATATTAATTCAGTTTTGCAGATTATTGCAAACAAGTATAATCTTGTACTTTTTTCTTTGTTTTCTCATAATTTTTTAAAAAAACCCCAACTGTTTTACTGCTTGGGGAGAGTAACAAAATAAACAGTATTTTAATAAAAGCTTCATTTGAATATGTTGTGCCAGTAAACACATCAGTGCAAATTTTATTTGGTCACAGAGAGAAGGTCACCTGAACTCTAGTTTCTGGAGCCTGTGTATTAGGATAATCTCTCTTCATTCAATTTTCTTGTTTCTTTTTCTTTTTTGGTATATGGGGATTTAACTACAGCAACCCAGTAAGCACCGTGACCTTATCACAGCAGCTGGTTTCAGATGTTTTTCAATGTCTGATCAATATGGGTAAAGGCTTACAGACTTTGGAAAAAGGACAGGGAAGAAGGGAGGCAGTGTTTTTCCAGTTTTTCGCCCTCCCAGTTTCTCTTTGTCTTCCTCCCCATCTTTTTTGGTCTGGGTAAATAGGCTTTGCAGGTGCACATTTCCCACACTGGCTGAATTGTCTCTGTCTCTTGCCATGAGGTAGGTGATTTCCAGTCTATTCTGACAGTGGCTTACTTAGTACCTTGTGCACATAGATGAGTGTTTACTGTTGGAGCGAAAATGCTTAAGCTTTCTATGAGGTGTTCTTTTTTCTTTCTCCTTTGTTTAGTAGGGTGTAAGTCTCAAGTAGCTCCTTCTTTTAAGGATGATGAAGGAAATAGTGGAGTGGAGCTTAACAGTACTTAACTCTTCCAATACTTTAGAAAGCAAATACCTGCAAATTTTCAAATAGTTGGATCTCATATATTTGCGATCAGACAAAGCTATATCTAGGCAAAGAGTGAAATTCAGAAGGTACCACCAAAGTGTGGTCTTTTTCTGGTAGCAGCATATGGATTGCTATGGTGAAATCCTTACTTCGAAAGGTTGTGAAGGGAGAGCAGGAATTAAATAGTCTTTGTTCTTCAGCATG